ACTTTAAAATATTTTTATTTAATTTTTTACCATATAAATTGATATATACTCTTATTATTTTGTGTTATAAATATATAGCATTGCTGAATAAACCAACCACCCACGCCTCCAATTTTTTTCTACTCTATATATCTCTTTCCCCTTATTATTCCCTCTTTAATTTAGCTTCCGCCTTTCTTTCTGTTCTTTTTTAACTTCCTAATTCCCCCTATTTTTTTCTTGCCGGAATCATCGCATACATCACCTCTAATGGCCGAGGAGACTCAAAAGCCCGAGGCAGCCTCGTCTGCCGGCGAGGTCGTGGTTGAAAAACCGGTTACTGAGAAAGATCTGCCTCCGGCTCCTGAACCGGAACCAGAGGCTGTTGAAAAGACGGCGCCTGTTGTGGAAGAGAAAGAAACTGTGGAAGAAGCAGTTGAGGAGGTGGAGAAGGCTAAAGCTGAGGTTGAAGTTGAAGAGAAGATTACTCAGTCGGTTTCGTTCAAGGAAGAGACTAACGTTGTTGGGGAACTTCCTGAATCGCAGAGGAAGGCTCTGGAAGAGCTCAAGCAACTGATTCAGGAGGCGCTTAACAAGCATGAGTTTACTGCTCCGCCGGTTAAGGAGGAAGAAAAGGCGCCGGAACCTGTAGTGGTGGAGAAGAAAGAAGAGGTTAAAGAGGAGGAGAAAAAGGAAGAGGAAACTCCGGCTAAGCCTGCTGAAGAAGAAACAAAGGTAGAGATTGAAGAGAAAGCAGAAGTGTCTGAAAAAGTAGTGGAGATTGAAGCACCAGCACCGGTTGAAGCCAAGAAGGAAGAGAAGGCTAAGCCGGCCGCGGCAGTTGAGACGGTGGTGGTGACAGAGGTGGTTGAGACAGCGGCAGTTGTTATTGACGAGGATGGTGCCAAGACCGTGGAGGCAATTGAAGAGACTGTGGTGGCTGTCTCTGCTCCTGCTTCTGTAGAAACAGGGGAGGCCTCTGCTTCCAAGGAGCCAGAGTCCGCTCCGGCGGAGGTGCCTAAAGAGGCAGAGATCCCTGCACCTCCCCCACCACCACCGGAGGAGGTCTCAATATGGGGAATTCTGCTTCTTGCAGATGAGAGGACCGATGTGATTCTCTTGAAATTCCTGAGAGCCAGGGATTTCAAGGTGAAGGATGCATTTATCATGATCAAGAACACCGTGCGTTGGCGCAAGGACTTTGGAATCGACGCCCTGCTCGAGGAAGACCTCGGAAATGAACTGGACAAGGTGGTGTTCATGCATGAATTCGACAAACAAGGCCATCCCGTGTGCTACAACGCCTACGGGGAGTTCCAAAACAAGGAATTGTATCAGAGTGCTTTCGCCGATGAGGAGAAGCGACTCAAGTTCTTGAGGTGGAGGATCCAGTTCCTGGAAAAGAGTATTAGGAAACTGGATTTCAGCCCGAACGGCATCAACACTATTGTTCAGGTAATCGATCTCAAGAATTCCCCTGGCCCTTTTAAGAGGGAGCTCAGGCAAGTAACCAACCAGGCTCTCCATCTTCTACAGGATAACTACCCTGAATTTGTAGCCAGACAGGTAATTTTCATTCATAAACCTCTTCATATCCTTTTCAATTCAATAATATAATTTCCATCCGATGAAAGTGAATTGATTTGATGTGGGGTTTTGATTTTAAAGGTGTTCATCAATGTTCCATGGTGGTACTTGGCATTCAATAAGATGATCAGCCCTTTCCTGACTCAGAGGACCAAAAGCAAGTTTGTGTTTTCTAGTCAATCCAAATCTGCTGATACCCTTTTCAAGTAAGTGAAATTTCCCTTTTCCCCTTTTGTTCCGACTGTGAATTAATACCAATCATTCGTTTATTCCTAGTCCTGGTGATTGTTTGATCATAATTCTCTTTTGATTATCTTGGTGCTAAATAGATACATAGCCCCTGAACAAGTACCAGTTCAGTATGGTGGACTTAGCAAGGAGGGTGAGCAAGAATTTACCACTGATGACCCCGTTACAGAATTCATAATCAAGCCATCAACCAAGCACACTGTTGAATACCCGGTATCCGAGGTAAAAATCTCTATCTAGAATCCTAATATCACTGAATCCCACCTAATTTTAATGATAAATATATATGAGTCAAGCCACCAATCTTTGACAACTAGAGTTTATGAGAGTTGCTTGAATGAGTCTCCATTTTGACATTAGTCTTGAATTAACATATGCAGGAAATTGTAATTGCATTATAAATTTTAATTCTTTTTGAATTGGATGATGATAACAATATGGGATTGTTGAATTTCATTGCAGAAGTCCATTCTGGTATGGGAACTCCGTGTTGTGGGTTGGGATGTGAGCTATGGTGCTGAGTTTGTGCCTAGTGTTGAAAATGGTTACACCATTATCGTCTCAAAGACGAGGAGGGTTAACCCTGCTGATGAACCAGTGATCTCAGACAGCTTCAAGGTTGGTGAACCTGGCAAGATAGTCCTCACCTTTGACAACCAAACATACAAGAAGAAGAAGTTGCTCTACAGGTCCAAGACCAAACCCTGTTCCGATTGAGGTTGGAAATTATCAATCAATTCCTTTCCAGGGTTTGAATTTTCTATCATCTGGAAGTCAATGCATATTGCAGAATAAGAAGGGTTCTTTTGTTTTTTATTTAAAATGACAGGTCTTTTTTTTTTTTTTGGGTTGAAAATTATTTTATAAGTTGAAGGTCTGGGGCATTTTATTTATATGTTATTTCTATTAGTTTATGGGGATTTTGTTCATTTGGTGTTGATACTGGTAAAGAGAGAGAGATGGAAAATGTGTGTGGAATGTGGACAGAAACTGTTAGTATTATTCTTGAGACTCTGCACTGTAAAATCTTTGTAAATTTCTTTCTTTATGTATGTATGCATGTTTGTTTATTGATCATTTGTTATCAACTCTGTTCTTATTGTTCACAGTAACTTTTCCTGATGTTTCTTTTCATGTCCTTTTTATGCATTCGAGGATGTGAACCTGATACTTTTAACAATCTCGAAAGCAGGAAAAAGGAAAACAAATAAACACATGAACTCAAGATCATTTAGGGATTCTGGAGCAGTAATGACAGAAAAAAGAAGAAGTTAAAGCTTGATAAAAAGTTCATAACTTCATTCGTCTAAATTTCACCTGTAATCAAATTAAAGTCGTTTTTGACGGCAAAGAAAAGGATGAACATAGGGCCCCTCACTTGAGCACTCTGTTTTCTCTTTTTTAACCATTTCATTCTGAAAATGTTTCCATTGATTTTTTGGTACATCTGATTTTAAGTATATAATAGAGGTAATCTCCCTTTTAATTAAATCTTTTTTCATCTGTTTCAAGACACTTTTAACATGAAATTTCAAGTTTTTAAAGTATTGTCAATGATTTAAATTGTTTAGTGGTAATTTCTTTTTGTTAGAAATAAGAGGTTTTGAGTTTGATGGTACACGGATGAGATGTGATAATAGATGAGAGACAGTTGCATTTCATTATGCAAACAAGATAAAAAAAATAAAGTTTTCCGAGCATCGGTGGCCCTAGGACATGTAGTTGATTCCTTCGTATCCTAGAATTTCAAAAGTTTGGTCTCTAATCATTTTCCCCACCACCTCAATTAAAAGCAGGGATTGAGATCTACTCCTAATCTCATTATCAATAATCATGGTTTTTAAATTCTATTTTAGCACATAAAGGTCCCACTCTACATAAAATTTAAATGGAGCTTGAGGAGAATGACATAATGCTGGGGCATTCTGCCGGGGGTTAATTTTAATTAATTTTTTAGATAAGTATGATGTTCAATATATATGATTCTTTTGGGGTGGGATGATTTGCTTTCAAAAAGTTGGAACAGGACCTCATGTGGGGGTGAATTCATGGAGGTTTTATCCTTATTATCTTGCTTTGTCGCAGTCCAGGGTCGTTTTCAGATTCATCAAGAAACGCTTTGGATTATATTATCCTCATCCCTTTGTTGCTTCTTGTGACGTCTTCCTAAAGATAAATTCATCCTTTTGTATCCATCAGTTTCGGCCCCAAAAAAAAATTTGTCTTCAGGAAACCAATTAGAAATGGTCAAATTAATGACCTTTGCATTCTTTTTGTTTTAAAAGCTGTTTCGAAAACGATCTTTGCTCACCATTCTACAGATCTGCTCTTCAAAACACTTTTGCTCACCGACTTAGTATTCATTTTGATTAGTCGTACTCTAAATATAACTGATAGTTGATGTTAAACTATTAGCATTTACACTATATTAATATGTTTACATTGTT